TGATGTGTAAAGAGTAAATCTGAGTTTTTAGGGACTCAGTTGCAGGTTATGCAAATAAACAGCGTATTCGTTTTCAATTTATTTCAATATGTAATCCAGTAACTTTTTTTCCCTAGTTGGTGATATAGAAGTGTAGTGAATTTAAGCCTGCTGACAATTTGCTTCCTTTTCAAGTTACCTTTTATGATTTCCAATACATTGTCTGTGGACCTTAGTTTACCTGATAGGACAGTTGTAAAAGGTACAGTTTTTACTGTCTTATTCCAATATCTTCTACTGCTTTGGAAGTTGCTATTTAAGAAAACTTGAAAGATTGTTAAATCAGTGTATTGTTTTGGGTTTTTTTAATTTTCAAAAAATGTTGGTTTGGGACCTTGCTGCATAGATACACAATTTTCAGAGGCTTCTTGGTGCTGATAAAATAGACATTAGGTTACCTTAGATAAATTCGGTGGGTTTTGTGGTTTGGCTTTGATTACTGTTTTCTAACAGTATGAAAGAGAATGTGGAGGAAAAAAAGCTGTTAAAGACATGAAATTATCTTGCTTGGCATGAACTTTTAGTTAGTCTTTCTGTTGACAATCCATACATTAACACTTCCTTGGTGTGCTTGTATCAAGCTTCATTGAAGAGTGATATAATTATACTTTTCTTTTACAGCACTCTTTGCTAATCTCTGATTGTGTCCCATAGACACAACTGCCACAAGAAGTTTTCTGTATTACTTTCACTATTGTAAAAAACTTTAAAAAAAGTTCTCTGTATATGTTAGGACAGAACCCATATTCCAGTTATTTCATGGGGAAGACTAGATTACTTAGTCTTCAAAAGAGATTATTACCATGAAAGAACAACTGTGTTGTAGGGAACAAATCTGGAGAGCTCCAGTGTCACTTTCTGTATCATTGATCCTCCTTTCTGTTGCTTGCTATAGGTTATTTAAAGTTGTTGCTTTGCCACAGCTGGATCTCAGGAGACTAAGGCTTAGTTATTTTCTTCTGCTGTCTATTGTAGATCAAAAGAGTATTTAGTGTCTATCACACTGAATAGAATTTTAAGAAATATATGTATTCTAAGACAGTCTTAAGTTGAAAAATCTGAGTGTTTATACAATGTTGTGTTCTCACTCCTTTAGAAGATGTTTCATAACTTGGTTCTTTTGTCTCTAGTGGTTAAGCTGCTGACAGTTTTTCTAGTGTGACCTTGTTAATGTCATTGATTAGTATTGCAAAAACTGGAGGTTACTTAAAAGGAAAAAATATACTAAGAAGTAGAGTAAGGAGAAATTATTTTGAAATAATTTTAACGTGTATTTTTTACATTGTAAATAAAAAGTAGTTTTCAGAAGGTATTGATACAGATGTTTAAATTTTTTTATTATAGTGCATGTCCATGTGTCATACTTTAAACCTGGAAATGGAGAATTCTTTCTGACTTAATTAAAATAACTAGCCTTCCTCTAAGTATTTAGGATGTGATGTGCTCCCTCTGTTCAGATTAGCCCTGGCCTTGTGAGGATGGAAAAATTATTTTTAGTGAGACAGTGTGAAATAGATTTAAGAGGGATAATAACTTACTTGTCAGAAGGTGTTATCTCTAAAATTAAGTTTCACATCTATCAGCAGAAATGTTTGCTCTTTTAGTAACTTGTATTAATTTGATACGGAAAGTCTCTCTAGTACTGGGATGGAAAAATACTCTGTATGAAATTTTGTTAATTCTAAAACATAATGGAAATGTTTAAGACCATTTGTGAAACAAAGTACTTGAGATATGTAAAATGAGAACTCTTAAATAATATTTAATAAATTTGTTTAGATTTCTAGTGCATGTTAAAAGAAGTAACTGAAGACGATATTCAAAAAAGCTGGAAAGCCTAACAAATTACAAAAATTTTATTGTCTGATTTCATAATTCCTTTTTATAATCTGTCTCTCTCTTGCTGTCTTTTCCTTCTCTCCCCATGTAATAAAAGCAAGACACACTTCAGCTGACCAGGTGAAGTCAGTTAGATTTAATTCTGTCACAGCTTTAGCTTTCCTAACCTCATTCCTGGCTGCTTGGACAGTTTCTCTGTATTCCTCCCAAGCTGTCTGTCCTTGCTTCCACCCTCTGTAGGCTTCATTTTTCTGCTTGTGTTTGTCCAGGAGTTTCTTGTTCAACCACGCAGGTGGCTGGTGTTTTGACCCACTTCCTTTGGTAGGCATGCATCAGTCCTGAGCCTGGACAATGTGATCCTTCAGTGTTAACCAGTTTTTTTGGGCCTCTCTACCGAGCATATCCTTGAGAAGGCCAAACTGCTCTCCTGAAGTCCAGGACAGTGAGCTTCCTGTGCTCCCTTGCTGCCCTAAGGCTCTTGAACTCCACTGTTCCATGGTCACTGCAGCCCAGGCTGCTCTTGAGCTTCACGTTCCCCAGCAGCCCCAACGTTTTGGTGCAAAGGAGACCCAGCATAGCGCCTCTCCTTGTTGGCTTCTTTAGCTCAGGGAAGGAAGGTATCACCGTCATCACATTCCAGGCACCTCCTGGTCCTGGATTGCTTATGCTCTGCTGTGTTGCACCTCTAACAGGTCTGGGGGTGGTTGAAGTCCCCCATGAGGAATGGGGCCTGTGAGCATGAGGCTGCTCCTATGTGTCTGTAGAGGACTTCATAGCTCTGTCTTCCTGGGTAAGGAGTAAGCAGACCCCCAGTCTCTGCCAGTCCCCTCCCTTCCATCCTGACCCATAACCTTTCAGTCAGCTCCTCTTCTGTTCTGAGGCAGAGCTCTGTGCACTTCAGGCAATCACTGACATAGAGGGTAACACCCCCTCGTCTCCTGTGCCTGTCCTTCCTAAACACCCTGTATCCTTCCATTCCAACACTCCAGTCATAGGAGTCTCACCATGTCCTAGTGATGCCAATAAGATGATAGCCATGCAGGCACACGCATGTCTCTAACTTATTTTTTTTTATTGTCTTTGCTATGCATGTTTCCATAGAGGCATTTTAGCTGGGTTCCAAATGGACCTGACTTACTGGCTGGAGTGGCAGAAGTTCCTTTGTGCTGCTCTTCAGGTGCTCTCCTGCTGACCTGTGATCCCTTTCCAGGCTCTGAGTATCTTTTGCTGGCTCTGGCATCAAACTCATCCTAGCAATGGGATGGATTGAGGCTCCTGTTCCCTTGAACCTTTAGGTAGTTGTGCACCATGTCTCAGAAAAGATAAATCAAGAGTGTCAGTTTTCCTGTATCTATGAAATACGGGATTTGTGGGGCTGACAATGCTGTAGCATTGACCTGGGGAGAGCATTCATTACATGCTGTGCTATGGAGAGCCAACAGGACTAAACAGATTTTCTGGAAGGCTGTTCTTCAGCAATTAAGATTGTATGAACTTCTTAAGAGTTTGTACCTGTGGCTCTTGGATTTGGACTACCTTGGGTCCAATACTAGACTTCTCTTAGACTTTCTGTTCTCTAGTTATGTGATGAAGCAGTAACTTCCAGTGCCTTGCAGCATGTTTCTACCTTGTTTGTGCTTACTTAAAAGATTCTAATTGAAACATGCTGCTGAGCAAGATTGAATAATGTGTTATCTATCGCCTTTCCCAAAATGAGCACTGCAACCAGAGCAGTAAGGTCACTTTAGGAGAGGGAAAGGGTTTTGGGAACTTAGTATCAACTGATCATAATGGGTTTCTTTTTGGTGACGTTGCAATTAACTCAGAAAAATCTGGAGTATACAGTTGTAGCTGGGTGGTGGTGTAAAGAAAGCTCCTAAAAATGATCATCTTTTGTTGTGTTGACATGTATTGATTTTCAGTTTTGTTTGGCCACAAAACACATGCTGCCCACATGAAATGCTTCCCCCAGTATCTAGTTCAGATAGTTGTATCAGGTGATGTCTATTGTGTGTTGTTATCTTACACTGGAGTAGGTTTTGCTTAGTCACTTGAGTCTATTTTGTTTCCTTTCAGTGAAGGGATATTTCCTGCATTGAGCAGGAAATCTCCTGGATTTCAGCTTTGTTTTCTCATACTAAGAAGCTGGAGAGGAGAGAGAAGTCCTACACAAATGCCAGATTGGCGTGTGATTGATAAGTAGACCAATCCAAAAATGCCTTTTTTGGGCTGATGTTTTCTGCTTTTGAGAGCAGAGTGCTGAAGTGTGTGGTGCTTGCACCTTCTGCCCCTTGCTTATCAAGATTGATTTTTGATTGTGGGTGGTATAAGTCTTAGGATCGTTTGTCTATTTTAGGACATGGTGTAGAGTTTAAGCTCTCAGGTAGGACAGGTGTATGCTTTGTGTAAAGAGAGTTAAATGTTAATTTTTGGCACATAAATTATGTTCTGCTCAAATTTTTGAAGTTATTCCAGGGAAGGACAGATTTTGGATGATAAAATGTTTTACTATGCTGGAACAAGGCAAATAATTGAAACTAAGAAAAAACAACCCAAAAACCACCACCACCACCAAAAAAAATGAACTTGAAGGTAGTAGTAACTATTTAGTAGTAGGATTTATAAAACTCCTGATCAGATGAATTTTATTAGTTCGGTGTTTTATTAAAAAAACACTTCTATTCCAGAAATGGGTATCACTGCAAAACAGTAGGATTCTATTGTCTTTTAGTGAAGCAATATATGCAGTCCTTATTCAAACCCACATAGTTTTTTTGTTTGTTTGTTTTTTGGTTTTTTTTATGGAAGTAGGGTTTTTTTAGCTGATAGCGGAAGTCATAAAATATCAACTTTCCCATAAAGCTAGGTCAGACATATATTTTAATCAACAGTTTAATTGTGAAGTCTTTGATGAAACAGTCTCTCTTCCTACAGTAAAAAGTACCTTTTCTAAAAGTCACCTTTCAACTTGTAATAATTTCTGTCACTCTTCAATATGACGCTGAGTAGATGTACAATATGTTTGGAGTAAGCAGTATGTAAATGACTGCTTTCTACTTTGGGTGTTTTTTTTCACTGTTTAATATTATTCATGTATGGATACATATTGTCACAACTTATCATTTTTTCCTCTTTATAGGTCCTGCTGGGGACTTGCATCTGGCCTCAATGTGAAATTAAGGTAGAAAAACACATCTACATATGTGTTTGCTATTAGGATTTAGTTTATTCACTGGTCATGCCTGAAGAGTGATGTTCGTCTCTAGTCGGCTAACAGCCAGGAAATATAAATGATTGTCCTAGAAGTCAAGCCTCTCTCCTATTTACTGGAGTGAAAATCACCTCCAGATATCGACGGAAAATCAACTACAGAAAATGCTTCACGTTATAAGGATGCCAACCACCTAGATTCATGCGCCCTATCTGTACAGTTGTTGTGGATGGTTTGCCATCTGAAAGCTCCTCAAGCTCTTATCCAGGCCCTGTATCTGTTTCTGAAATGTCTCTGCTACATGCTTTGGGTCCAGTGCAGACCTGGCTGGGACAAGAGCTAGAGAAGTGTGGCATTGATGCCATGATTTATACTCGGTATGTCCTCAGTCTTCTGCTGCATGATAGCTATGACTACGACCTGCAGGAACAGGTATTTACATATTTTAGATGTTGTCCAGTGAAAGTGAGTTTTTGTACCAGTTATGTTTTGTGTATTATACCTGGGTATGCCTCAGTTGGGGGGGTGGTTGTCTTTAAGTGTGTGGGTGGAAGGAGGGTATAAACCACACAGGAGTCAGATTTGATGGGTGAACTGAGATTAAAGTAGTTAGGTTGCTGTATGGGCAATTACATTAAACAATGTTTTCACGTGGCTAAAATTGATATCAGAATTTTTAACACTGGAATATCTGTGTCCTAAATGGAGACCATCACTACTTGTGATTATAAGCATAATTTAATATCGGAATATTAGTGAACAAATTAAATTCTTGTAAACTGTGTCAAATTGCCCAGCTCCACAGTAGTTTGTAGATCCCTCCCATCATTTCCCATAGATTTCATGTTGTGCTATTTTCAGTAAAGAATAAACACCCACCCATCACTCATCTCTTCTAAAATAATGCTGAATGCTGATAAAAAGCATGTAAGAGAGTTTTGGCTCTAGAACATACTGTTCAGCCTTGATACCTTTTTCCTTTTTTTTTCATTTATTTTTTTATTTATTTTTTATTTCTCCGCATCTTACACCTTTGTAGAAATACTTTTAGTAGTGGAGTTTTGTGAATTCAGGACTCAGAGAAATTACAGTGTTTTCAGAAAAGGCTGATGATGCTGTTAAATATAGACTTTGTCTTAGAAGGTAGCTGTGGTGACAGTGGGAAGAAAGGAAAGCAAATACCAATTATATGATAGCTTAATTATTAGTCCTTCTTTATTACTGCTGTTTTGGTTATACTTCAGACATTGCTACCTAACTGCTTCAGAACTTCCATTGTCACCTCACCTAGTTTATAATTTTAAAAATCCAGCAAGAGCAGAGCAGGTCATTGTGAGATAGATATAAGTGTAACTGGAACACAAAAAACTCATCTCAGATGCTGCCAGTTTTTGAACTCTTAGCAACCATTACTGTGCATAAAAGCCTTCATGCTTCCCTTGTGCAAAGCAGAAAACTTGTATCTGTAAAAGTTTTTTTGTTTCTTTTTATTCAAAAATGTATCTGGCAACAGTAGGTGACATCAGCAACAACCCCATGATTACATGTAATTAAAAAAACCCAATGTAAGCACTTTCTGGAATGTATCTTAACATGTGGGTCTTGGTCAGGCATGAATAGCTGTATGTAGAAGGGGGCAGAAAAAGGTTCCAAAACCTGTTTGAAAGGAGCGTGTGGGATGAGGACATTGAAAACGAAACCAATTGAAACCACATGAGAACTTGAGGATCTTTAGAGATAGGCCAGTGGCCTTGGGGAAATGAAGACCTGTTTCTTTTCAGTCCATTTCAGACTACAGTCATAACTTTGAAGTTGCTACTGTGATATTTCAAATTACTGAAGTGCTAAAATTAGTTTTCTTTTTATCAGGCTTTGCAAGAAGCAGGGTAACTATATTATGAAAATCTCATTCAGTTTATTTCTCATTTTGATTCCTTAACTGGATCCTTTGTGGGTTTGATAACAGAGCTTTAAGGAATGTGTCTGTTCCTTTTCCAAGTCGATTATCTGAACCTAATGAGCCAAAGGGAGAAGAATACCACATGCTGACAGTGTAGCCAAAACCTGTGTTGCTGAGTGGGCACTGTGGTACCAATGTACAGGATGTCTTCTGAACAATACTGGACTTTGAAGTTGGAAGATTTTTTCCACCTCCTTGAATTTGATCCTGTTTATAACATACTTTTACTTAGGGTGTTTGTTCGCCCTACTTCAAATAACCATTTTCTAAGTTTTGAGACCTAATATCAATTTTGTTTTGGGATTACATTCAGTAGTAATGATCAGATGCACCTGTTATGAAACATACTGCTCCCTAATTTCTTTTTCAAATAGCTTAGTCTGTAAAGCCTGCAAGTATGAATTTCTTACATGGAAAATTGAGGAAATCTTTAACACGTGCTGGTTTTGTTATTTATTTATTATGGATTTTAAATTTATTTTTATTTTACTTATGCTTACTGATTCTTTGTATCGCCTGACATTTTAAATTAGTTTTGTGAAGGTTTAATGAAGTTACTCAGAAACAAGAAAATCTTTACTCTAAAACATGTATTTACGTATAAGCAATTTCAATCCAATTTTGGTGATGGGTACAATGTTAAGACAAGGGGGAAGAACATTGGCTAGTCTTGTTTACAAATAGAAGTCAAGAAGGAGAACAGGAATTAAATATCTAAATGAGAAGTAATGTAGGAGTAAAAGAGTTGCTGAGCTCCTTTAACCCAGATTAATTCCCATTGAAGACTTGGTCCTTGGCGTCTCAAGAATTATTTCTCCCATGTGATTCCTTTAATTCTTAAAAAGATAAGAAAAGTTCCATTAAAAGAACTATTCTCAGTGGTGGACTTATTGGATTGATTTCTCTCCAACTTAGAGGACAGCTACAAAGAGGGCTGAAACACTCTATTCATGTGGAGAAGACAAGGGGCAATTGGGTACATATTGCACTGGGAGCAGTTTTATCTTGATATGAGAACATTTTTCTTTTTCTTTTTTCCTGTAGTGAGAACAGTCATTCACTGGAATAACCTCCTCAGGAATGTGATAGAATCCCTGTTGCTGGAGGTTTTTGAGATGCAGTAGGTTGCTAGATAATCTTGTCTACTCCTGTTTTTGGGGATAGTGAGTAGCCATCCCTTTTTCCTCAAGATACAGCAGTGACTTCTTTTTAGAGCAGGTTACAAGGAATGTGTGGCCTTACAATGGGTTATACATAGGAATAATCCATTGCAGTTTGCTTTTTTTGTGGGCTGGTAGTGAAGAGGACTAATTTAGGAAATCTTAATCTTATGGATACTGTCATCTTCATTAGAAATGTTACAGACTGAAGCTAAGAGAGTCATTAAGATCTTTCCACCTCAGAATGTTGATGGTATCATTAGCACTGTTAGAGTTGCTTCAGGGGTCCTCCTTCAGTGCTTTATAGTGTTCTGGTGTCATCAAGTGTAGCAGGGAAATGTAACTTTGAAGTCTGGACTGAGGTTCTGTCAGGTAAATACAAAAAGATTTAGTATCAAAAATAAGTAAAAAAACCCATTCCCAACCTTACTAGGCATACACAGCTATTTAAGATATCACTGTTGTCACATTTTCAGTCATTTCTCTTTACAGCTAAAATAAGAATTTCAAAAGTATATGGGAATCTTGATTGACTATGGGATTCTTGATTGATTAGATCTTTAGGGTTATTTTCAAGAATAAGCAGGATGTTCCCTTCTGCTCTGTTATTAATATTTAATATGTGGGTTTTGGTCTTGATTCAGCTGCAGTCTTCTGTGGGTTTCTCCAGTGTTGCTCTGATGCAGATTTGTGTGGCTTTCTCCAATATTATCTGTTTTTGTACAGTGTGCTAGTTTGATGTCTGGGTAGAAGATAAGACTAAGAATGTGTGTGTGGGGAGTTGTGTTGGTTCTCTTTCCCCATTTTTGGATGTATATGAGGGTGGTGGTTTTTTTGTTTGTATTTTGTTTGGGTTTGTTACTGATTTTACTTCAATGCCTTGCCCAGTTAGAATGGTCTATGTTGGGTATCGTTATATGGATTCAGGCTCAGTATCACGAAATGTTAGACTTGTAAGTTGTGTGTTTCCAGAGAGTTCATAGCAGATTTTTACAAGTACAGAAAACATAGGTGGAAGTAAAACCCTAATACACTGCAACCAAATTTTAATGGAATGTTTGCAGTTTCTAATATGGCTCATTGGCTTCAACTGAAATAGCTATTAAAATATTGGGAAAATTTATAAGCCAGTATGTTTTGCCCAGCTGTATTTGAAAGAAATAGAGAATTTCCAAGAAAGGAATCTTGTTTATGGTAAATTTTACTGTGTCTTCAGGACTGCTATGGTTATATATGTGTTATACATGCTTATAAAGAATTACCATAAAATTCTCTAAATATACACACTCTAAATGCATGTTTGTTTGTTTTTAAATACTCAGGTACTGAAGGTAACTTAGTTATTGTTGGCACCCAGAGCACAATTCTTATTCAAGCCATACTTGCTACTTTTGGATGTGAGTCTAAGAGCCCAAGATGTGAAAGTTCTTAAGAACTCCTTCATTCTTAGTGTGTACTCTTCATTTTTTTAATTTCCCTTTCCCTTCAGGTTTCTTTGGCAGCAATGATATTGCTGGTGGGAGGGTTTAAGTGGGTGGAAGTAGGAAGCTCTTTGGAATTTTTTTCCCCCAGTACTGACTGATGGAGTAGGAAGTACAATGATAGTATGAACTGGGTTTGCATATTTTCCTTGATGCCTGTGATACAGTTCATAGAAATAGTTTTAGGGGTTTTGTGGCTAGTTGAGGTTCATCATATAAGAACACAAATAAGGAGTTCAGTGGTAGACTTGCCCTTTTTTTCCTACAACCAAAGATGTTGCTTGTATACAGTCTTTCTAAAGAACAATTCTCAAATTGATTTACACATATATTAGATGTCTACGTGGCCTAAAGGTTACTAAAAAAAAATCTCTTGAACCATGCTATATAAGATACTCATTATTTAGGTTTGTTAGGGGGTTTATTTGGTTCAGTTTGGTTTGGGATTTTTTTTTTTTAAGAATTGAGGCCTATCAATGGTCTCTTCAAAATGTTTGGAAATCACTGATATTTTGTGCTGAAATAAATGACTTTTTAGTCACTTTTGGTCCATTAAGGAAAACCTCATAAAATTCGTGTGGATTTACAGATTGTTTAATGTAAATAAAGTGCAGAATGTTTCTGCCATGTATACATGATTTCATCATTTGCATTTCATTACTAAATTTACTTACTTTGGAATAAATGATAAATTAAGAGGAAAATCATGAAATTGCTGTCAAGTTTTTTTTAACTTGGAGACCCACAGAATTGCTGTTGTTGGAGATGTAAACACTGTGAGACAGCCTTTTGATTTCACACTAGACCTATTTTTAATCAGAATGCCTTGCT